CCATGGCAGGGGGTTGGAACTGGGATGATCTTTAAGGTCTCTTCCAATCCAAGCCATTCTATTATTCCGTGATTCCCCAGAAAGATATTTTAGCCTAATAGAGATCAAAGCCAAAATAGAGATCAATATAGAGATATCAATGGAGATCAAAATAGAGATCATATGGCAGGTAAAAATCTCCTTAATTCTGGTTCTTGTTTAGAAAATAGGACAAAATCTTGTCTCCAGGGGCTGTAAATCTGTGTCCTCTTATTACAGGTGTCATGGATGGCCAGACAGTTGCTCCATTTATTTATGCTGAGATCTGACACCTATTATTAATGACCATAATAGACCTTGCTGTCATTACAAAACAGAAAAACTAGCCAAAACAATGTTGATGTTAGAGGGAAGTCATAGCTACCATTTAGAGAAAAAACACCTCCTGTTGCTTTCAGTTCCAGAAAGTAGGTATACTGCAGCAATCTGGTTCTCATCCCAATCCCATCAGTGTGAGATCAGAGCAAAGCTAAATAATTCTGGCCTGAGGGACTAAGCTGGGTTCTCCAGAGGCCATATGGTAAGTAAGGAGTCTCTTTTGCAAACTTCTTCCTTGAGGGGACAGAGTTTCAGCCTAATTCAGCTTCTGTAACACCAAGGCCAGTCAACTTCTGCACCTAAATGCTGACATGAAGAAATTTTGTTGTACAGTACCCAGTGAGGCAAGGCAGTAACACACTTTGTAGAGTAGAAATCTGAAACATAGTAAGCCAAAATGATGTCCCCACAGTTCTAGAGGGGGCATGTAGTGAATCAAGAGAAGGAATCTGTGACCCTAATCTCTGAGGTGCCTCTGAGGGGTGACACATCAGCATTCAGAATTATATCAACTTTCTTACTGTTGACAGAAGTGAGATATAAAGATGGAGAAGTGAGTTGTAAAAGGTCAAACAGTTTAACTTATCAGACTTACTGCTATAAATGACCGTCTGTAGATTTACACCAATGCAGTGCTTCCAGCTAACTTAGGAATTGTCCCACACATGCTGAAGTTCACACCAGATTGCAATTACCTTGAATACTGTAGCTGGAATATTGGCATTTAGACCTATACTGGCGGATAGCCTTTGTTCAGACCTGTCAATGTAGATGATCCATTTTTTCTCTTGTGATTCATATGGCTAATAGTAAACACCCCAGTGAGAAGTAAACAGAGAAAAAGAGCACTCAGTGACCAAACAGCTAAGCTGTGTATCAATGCTTGTGCAGTCTGCCCTAGAGGTAACTTGTAAGAGATCCCTTTTCTGTTGATTGTAAACAAGAAAACTCAAAAAAATATTCTGCAAACCTGATCTTCTGCACTCATTAGTGTGTAAATGACAAATCTCCTTCTAATCTCAGCCTTACCTTGTGCAGTTTCTCCATTTCAGCAGCATAATTAGGAAAAATCAACTGTATCACCTATGTTATGTTTGCCATGAAAGCCTCCAGCTGCAGTCAAAAGGACACGTGTACACATACACATGTGATTAATAACTATGTATTTACAGAATTATGATATGTCTCCAGAAAGCATTTTTAATCAAACACAGATGCGAGGTTTTTCATGGTAACTGAATGGAAGCATTGTTTATTTGAGGGATGTCTATCATGGATTTCTAGGATGGTTCCACTTCAGAGGAAGTATTTCCAGGTATCTGGAATGATACAATCTTAGCCAAGAATTTAATGTTTCTTAAATGTTGATATGTTACTATTTTCAGTAAATGTGTTCCTTTTTCCCCCAACTTCTTCCAAGCAGCTTACATCTCTTCATTTCTTTTGGAGAAGCTTTTCTAGAGGAAATAGTAAACTTACAGTGCATTGTCACAATGTCGAAGATTATTATTGACTTACCAAATACCTGATAACATATCAGTGTATCAATTCCTACCACCTGTGTCTCAGTATCACATTATATGGAATGATCTCACCTTCTGCTGTAAAAAATAAGATGTGAGAGCATCCAACATATGGAGTCCAGCAAGTAAGAGACAGTAAATACACAACAGTCTGCCAAATACTGGTGGTTTCTCTAAGATACCACTGTCTCTGCCTCTTAGCTTATCTGTCATGGCTGGTCAGTAAAAAGGAGGTGAAAAACAGACTCCGTAACTGTTCCGTTTGAGAAGTCCAAAATGCTCTACTATACTAGGACACAGATTTGCTTTTCAAGACTAATTTGTACCAATGCTAGCTGATATAAACATGCAGCTGTGCAGGCAGTGGCAATAGCCAGAGTACGCTATACTGTAGCTATATACGTTATAGGTTGCAAAGGAAGCTTCTTGCCATCTGGAAATTTCTTCATGCTGGAGTAGTACAAAGGGACAAGCCCTTCCATTCTGTACCAGAAATTCTGGTATTTGTTATTTAGGATTCAGTCAAATCACAGCTTTGAGAAGTTGTATTTTTCCAGCTGACTTTTCCAGCTGAAGGAAAGAGATAAATGCCACATAGCTGAGGCTTTTTTATCGCCATCCATCATAATTAAAGAGTAGTCAAATCATCATTGTGACTGTGTAAATTCTTATGACAATTTCTAAGTCATTCATAACTGTTGTTTGTGTGGCATTCTTGGTAGAAGGAAGAGGATGTTAAGTCTCATTTCTTGACCTAAGTCCAGATTAGGTGCTTACATTTTACCTGTATGATTTCTCTGCTGTGATTTTGGGTGAATGTTTGTACCATGGTGTTATGCTCTCTTAAGGCATTGCTGTGTTTCAATTTTGGGTGAATATTTGTTTCTAAGTTGTACCATGGTATTTTGTTCTCTTTGAGGCATTGCTGTGTGTCACGACAGAGGTGTCTACTTTTTGGTTAAGTGTGATGAAAAGTGGCTTGCAAGCATAAGGAATAGTTAGTGATACTTCCAAACTAACTGAGCAATTGTACAAAAGTATTCAAAGGGAAACTGGGTAATATGCTTAGTGTTAGAAAGACACCTAGACTTCTGAAAGGAGGTGTTCTGACCACAAATCTATTAATCCTCTGAAGAAGGAGATGATGATCTCTTTCCACAGAGACAGATTTTGAGGCTATGTTTTAATGAGTTTCCTTCAGTTAAGTTGCAGCTGAGGGAGCCCTGAGATGGAGTTTAGATTGGCCCATTGACTGTGGACTGTTGCCAGACGAGGACTTTAGTGACTGTACTTTAAAAGGAAAATGAATGATGAACTTCCACCCACAAAGAACTGATTATATTAGTGTTACTCTCCTGCCTTGTCTTACTGAAGGTCTGAAATCCTTTTCCTGAATTGTTATGAATCTTGAGTCAGATTGCCTCCCTAATGTGTGTCTCAGTGCCCATGTATGGAAGAATATTTCTTCTGTGATCACAACAAATGCTTAGGTTGCAAAGGAGAGAGCATTTTCCTAGAAGGAGAGTACAAATCATGATAAAACTTTTAAACACATGAGAACAAAAGAACCTATATTTTTTTAAGCTGTTTAGGTACTTTAAAGTTTGCAATTTAAGTTCAGAAATCATTTTAGTGCTACTAAATATGTTAAGTGCCATCTGTTTCTCTAATGATGCTATTTCTGACTCAGGAGATAAGCATTTATGAAAAGTAAAGAAGAAGGGGCTCTGTTGTTTTGATACCATCATGAAAATGCGGTTCTGTGAAGGTATCTAGCAACTTTCCAAAATTTTGAACTTCAGAGGAGACTTCAAGATAAAATGATGTTTATACACTACATGCTTTTAGCATAAGTATCTTACGTGCTAGAGTTGCTCTACACATAATACAGGTCCAAGTACTAAAATAACAATCTTCCTGCTTCATTTGCAGATGCTTGTAGTAGTATTAAAACTATATTTATGTTCACACCATTTAATGTACAGTCTCAAATTTTTTGAGTACTCAGTTGTGTAGTAGTCAGATTTTGAAAGAGGTATTCATGAATCAAAGAAAGTTTGCAAGAAAACTTTAGAAAACATTTGACCAGGTTAGAACACGTTGGGCCTTGGAAGGACTTTACTCAAAAGCATACAGCTACTACTCTGATTGTGGCAAACTGTAAAGATTACACAATTGTTGCCAGGGAAGGATCAATATTTATCCACAGTTACCATGTGCTTCTCTCTAAAGTGTGCATACCTGTGCTACAGATGGGAAAAAATGTGATCTGATAACACACTCACGCAATGCTTAGCAAAAATTAACAGTATTGTCATGGGCAGAAAACATATGCACAGAAGTTAGAAGCTCAGAGGTTGTCAGTTGGGCCCATGCGGTGCTCTGGGTAAATTCCAGAAAGTGATAGTCTACAACTTCAATCATACTAGACATCAGCCTATATTAATCATTGCCTGTAAGGAAACAGCCAGAAGAAAAAAGCAATCAAAGGAAAGGTTGCACCAGAAAGAACATACAGAAACACTTGCTATGATCATGTGTAAATCAACCACAGGCTCTATTTACAAACCTTTCTATCTGTTCCTTTGCTTATTCATTTCTGCTTTCCCTCTCTGTCTTCTAACTTTCCTTCATCTTTCCAGATGCAGGACGCTATGGGCTATGAGTTACCATGGGTGTATTTTGTCAGTCTGGTCATCTTTGGATCCTTTTTCGTTCTAAATCTGGTACTTGGTGTGTTGAGCGGGTAAGCTGACAGTTTTGGTGTCCTTTTTCCAATGCTACAGGGCAAGACTCCATAAGAAGGGTTCTTCCCTGTCACCAGGATTCTTTTGGATGGATTAAAAATCTGAATCCAAGGAAGCTTTCACATCAGCCCTCAAAAATCTTGGCTAAATATTTAAACTTTGCAAATAACAATACAGGTAACAAAAGAGGTGTGTTTCTCTGGCAGAAATTCAATATCGGGACTTCCAAAATCACTACTACTGCCCTTCCATAAATTTCCAGAAAATCGATTATTGAAAATCTTACTGCTGGTGACTTGGGATCTCTTTGGCTGGAGCCTTGCAGTGCTCAGACACTGAGCTTGTCTCACTAATTATCATTCCACTCTTCCAGGTCAATGATGCCATAGGAAGGGACTGGCCCTGGATCTATTTTGTTACACTAATCATCATAGGGTCATTTTTTGTACTTAACTTGGTTCTCGGTGTACTTAGCGGGTAAGCAGTACCAGGAAAATGTTTTATTACTGTTTATTTTTAAAAAATTGTATTTTTATTCTTACTCTGTTGTTATCAAAACAACAGACAATGGCAGGTTGATCTCTGGAATTTTAGTAGAAGACCTGGGCTATTGCTGTGCAAATGGCAAAACATGGCCTTCCTAATCTGGAAACTGCATTTTAAAATAAACTATTAAAAAAAAAAAATACAAGACAACTCTGTCTGTAACATATTCCTCTACCTGAAACCTCTACCTATACTCTTTGGGAAGAGGACAACACTATGTTCCCCTGTTAAACATGTCGTTCACCACGGACTAAGGGGATTATAGTAAAATCTTTGGAAGAGTCACTGGGACTGAAGGAGGAATGAGAGTATGAAACAAATCCCTTCACAGTTGTGGGATGAGATTCCTGCCAAATTACGTCTTCTCACATGAGAAGTTTTCACATTGCTTAATATCTCTACAGCACAGCCTAATGGGAGACTTTTCCCTGGAGTGTGCCTTGCATGCGTTTCTTCTTTAATAAGCACATCCTCTCTGTTGTGTGGATTACAAGCCCAGCATTATTCAGGGAGAAAAGATAATTTCCCTCTGACCTTTTCTGAGACGGAGCAGAGAAACAGGAGAATTTTTTCTGGTGTTTAAACATCCCTAAAACATCTAGCTGTATCTCGTTCTGCAGTATAACCCTCACTGCAAAGCATTATTTTGGTAGATTTGATTAAAAACAATTGATATTGCTCCCAGTAGTTAAAAACTTTATTGCCCCTGGGGAGATAGTTAATTAGAGGATTGAAGCCAGTGAGCATTCCTCTCTAGATTTTTTTTAAGATCTCCCAGATTTAGGCATCAAATTCCATATTTGGGAAAGACTGGATGCCTACAGCCATTCCATGCAAATAGATAATTATGACATGAGGACTTTTATGCATCCTCTTCTTCATTGTTTCTAGCATTATGCCTCTCTGCCTTCAGTGAGCTCTAAGCGAATTTGGTCAGAGCCAGTACTTGTCTGAGCAGGCAGCCCTTAAATCTCCTGTCCTTTGATCATAAAGAGTGGCAAAATCTTCTCTGAACAGGAGAGAGGTCTTGATGCTTCATGTGTGTTACATTCTCAGTGTGACAGAAGCATAGGAAGAGTGGTAGTAGGACTAGAGAAGAAGATTCTCCTTTGATCATTCTGGGAAGAGACAGGTAATAGCAGATCTACTTGAGGGGTTATTATTGTCTTCATTACTCCATTGAAGGTTACATGCAGCTAAGACAGCTGCTACAAACTGAAGAGTTTTCAAGTAGTGAATGGAGGAGAAAATCCCCAGTAATAAAGTGTCAGGCAGTAGTCTGCATTTGAATTTCTGGAGAATAATATTCCAGGTACAATTTTAAAACATAAGCTCCTTGTCTCTCCACATGGATACTTTGCTCAGCAGGTAAGGATCAGCAGTAAAGGAGGATGCCGACCTGACAGTGGGTAAGCGGACTATAATATCAGAGATGCACTCAAGGACCATGTAAGATGGTGGTTAAAGATTATATAGTATCTGATTGGATAAACAGTGCCTGTGAGCCCAGCCTGAGGACTGCATATTGTTGAAGCAGTGCTGATTCAATTTACCGACACTTGGATTTGTGTACATAGTGGAAAATTACATTTCCTCTCTCTTTCATTTTTCAACCAAAGAAAGTGTTTTGGGACCTGGATGCCCCATCTCCTGAGATACTGCAGCTAGACCACCACAGCTAGTGGTGAGAGATGAAAACAGTCTGCAGGGAGAACTGAAATTAAAGATGAAGTTCACCTTGTTTATGCTGTGAGTCACTCTTCATGGCTGTGTTCACAGTATTATGACAGCTGCACTGTTTCTGCAATTTTCTTTTTTTTTTTTTTTCCCAACTGGAGAAAAGTAAAAAGAAACTTCAGTATTTGCATCTATGAAGAAAAAAAGAAAAAGAAGAGGAAAAAAATGATGGCAGAAATGTTCTAAATTTTCTTTGGGCTAAATAAGCAATTCTTAAACAATTAACTTCCTAATGCAGTTCCAAATTCTGCTGAGTTGCAAAGTGTCGTCACTTTGCAGCTTCAGCTTTTTTTAATAAACTTGCTATTAGTCTGTTCTGTGTAGATGATCACCTGTCTGTTCTGCGTAGGTACAAAGCAATATTCCTGGGCATCTTTGTAGATCCATTCTGAGCATCTCTGATTTATCCCCATTTATCTATATCAGGAATGTTAACAAGCACGTTGTGTAGGTAGACTTCATCAGTGACAGATTGGCTTGGTTTATTTAATCGCTTCTGAATACGTAAGTGTAATTAATTGTACTCACAAAGACACTTTGATTGCACCTGCAAAATCAAATGCTGAGTTCTATTCTGCCTGCAGATCTCATTTGTAATTTATTTTTCCTCAGTGTTTCACCCATTCATGATTCTTCTGGTGAATTTACTAATCACATGTTAAGCTACATAGTATGACAGAGTATTTATGTACAGAGCTATCATACTCTTCCTGTCTTGACTGAGCATACATTAAAACTCTTGTATTCCAAAGGAAATATCCAGCCAACAGGTCATGCAGTTGACCTTCTCAAGCCAAGAAAAAAGGTGTCCACAGCACTGTTGAGAGTGGGGAAACTACTGCTAGAGGTCTTCTGAGAGCAGAGATATTTGCTTCTGTGTTACTTGCTTCAGTTGATTAGTGATGGAAAAAATGACAGTGCGGGCTCAACTTTTATACTTTCATGTGGAAGCATACAAATTCACATTTATTTCATAGTTTGCTTATCATTGATCCAAATCCCAGGACACAGTTCAAACAATAAGTTTCCTAAAGCAAACTAAAGGCCAGAGAACAGCCATTTCTTCTGCTTTGAGAGGATCCTGGAAGCCCGGCTGACTGTTTCTGATTTTCTTCCTGCTGAAGAAGTGATTAGAGTGGATAGGAGGCTGTCTATGCTTGCAGCTCCTCCTTGGAGCAGCAGGAACAATATTCTTGACCTTTCAGGACTCTTCCTAGTCTAACCCCTCTTCCAACCCTTTCTAATCATAGAATCATAGAATGGGTTGGGTTGGAAGGGGTCTCAAGGACCACCAACATCCATATCTAATTCTAGAACAGGTTAGATCCTCGTTGTACCTGTCAGCATGGGCCATGAATGATCGAAGCCTTATTCTGCACTAAGCAAGAGGTTTGAAGTTCTAGAATTCAGCTGTTCCACAACACCTTTTAATGTGAGAATTCATGCTGAGATCAGACATAGACATAAAATACATCTTTTTCCTCATCAGGATAGACAAAAGAAATTTTCTTCTGCACCTATACAGCCTACAGAGCTGGGTATTTATATTTATGACCTTTACCCACTCTAACCTCAGACTGTATATCTCTCCAGAATGCTCTGCTTTTTGATTTTTCCTTTGACAGAGGTGTCTTGTAGTTTTCTAAGAAAAGCAAAGGAAAGTGAAGCAAACCAAATACTCGTAAAACCAATATTCACCAACTCCTGAACAGAAGTTGTCTCATTCACTGAAGAGAGACAGATTATTTGGTGGTTCCGCTAACCTCTGCTGACCTTATTCTGACATGATATTGTTTTTTTTTTTTTTGAGAAGGCCACCTCCAGTCTCAAGACAGCACCTCTATCAGAAAGCTTATTGGCTTTTTGGAAGCTTGGCTTCCCCGCTGAAACTGCAAACAATGAACATTTATTGCCAACTGTGATGGTGGCAGAGGTACTGTGCACACCTGCCTGCAATAGGAACTGGACTGAGGTCACCAACTCATTTCAGATAGAATAGTAAATGACCATGGGTAGTAATTCTTGATTGTAAACTACATTTGCCCAAGTATAGGCTGGCATTCCACACGGGAAGTGGTTGGAATTGCATTAGCAATTTCCAGAGCCACCTGTTCTCAATAGTCTAGTGCTTGCAGAGCATAGAAATTGAGATAATTTAAATAAGTTGTCTTCTTTGGAGAATCATATGAAAATTGGAATACTATACGTTGTACAGAGGAAAGAGACAAATGAACTCTTAGCGTAAGGGATCACAATATTTTCAGTTGTGCCATTAAAAAGCTAGTAACAAATTAATTTGTATGCAGATATTGAGCATACTACCATGCTGCTAAAATCTCACTTCAGTTTAGTCATCTCTTCTGCCAGCCCAAGTCCTGCTTGAGAGAGACAGTGCATGGGGCTGGCAAGTTCCAAGCAGGCACTCAACTGAGATGTATCCAATATGTGACCCAGTTCAGTGCACATAAGAATAACTTTCTGCAAACTGTGTCATTTCATGATATTTTCCACACAATGGGTTTTTTTTTAAACTGCCTCTTGCAAGTTGTATCCATATAAACATAAGTACTTCTCAGTTGGAGTTGAGAATCCAATCCCTTTCAAAAGTGCTCCTATTTGTTAAAATTCCAAAATACAAGTTTATGACCCAACTATTAGAATACTGGAATTTGAGTTTTCAAACTGACTTAATAATGCATAGATCATTCAGTGTTTTTTTGTTGTTGTTCTTGTTGTTTGTTTTGTTTTGAAGAGTTAATTCCTTAATTTGTATTATTTACAGTGTGAGACTCAGAAGAAACATATTATTGAAGCAGCAAAAAAATAATTGGTGTTGATTAGATTTTTAAAAAATATTTTCTAGAGTTATTGTTGTTGGGGTCATTCTTGCCACGCTTGGCAGTAGGCTTTTCTGCCTGATAGCTGTTTGGTCCCAGGGTTGGCTATGATCTACTTTGGGGCCTAAGAAGCCACTGATTCTCTTCCTCATTTCCACCTTCTTTATCACTGTCGCAAGAGACATGTGGCAAGCAATGTGACAGGAGTGAGGATCACACAGGCTTCTTTTGTCACATACTTTGCCTTTAAATGAAGACATCTTCTTACTCTCATTCTGATGCAGTGCTGGTGTCCTGAGCGGCTCATAACATGAAAAAAACCTGATCCAAAGACAATGAAGTGAAGGGAAATATTTCAAAGGGTTTTGACCAGACAGGAGAGAAGTACTATAGCATCATTACCGGAAACTTAGGACAATTCATGGGGCACTCATTAATTTTTGGGTGGGATTTCATAAACCTAATATTACCTCACTAAAGTTAGTGATAAGTTTCCTATTTCGTGGTGAAATCAGCCTAAAGACAAGCATTAGGCTTTTCTTTTCTTTTCTTTTTTTTTTTTTTTTTTTTTTTCTCTAATTCTGCTTATCTCTAGCAATCAACAGAGAGGCTAATGGAAAATCCATTTGAAAGAATGACTTTTCCTCTCATTTTTAGACATAGTGGGCCGTATTATCTGCTGTATATACCTTGTGTAGTTATCTGCTTCAGCAGATATAAGGCTTACTGTTTAAGTACTTTCAGTCTAGCACTTTTTACAATTATTAAGCTTCCTTTTTAAAATACAGGTATTAAAACCTGGCTTGAATCCACAGGAGAGTCTTTAAATAGAGATAGATTGGCATTTCTAGAAAAAAAGTAAGAGTATAGATGTATCTGAAAGACAGAAAGAAAATGCAGAGCAGATGTAAAGAATGCAAAGCAAACATCATGGATCATAGCTAAGCAACATTAAATTCTTGTTGCTCTGCCCTCTCTTTTAAGTCCATATTCCCAACCGTGGTCTTCCATCAAGCAATCAGATGCCTACTCTGTTTCACTGTCTGGCAGAATCCATTACTGCTTATGTTTGTCTACCCAACTCGAGATTTGAAAAATAAGTTTCATTTCAAATAATAGTCCTGAATATCAGATGCTATGAAACACTGAAATCTAAATTTTCAAATAGAGTGTCCACTCCCATGGGTGAAATTGCTCATAATTAACTGTGTATAGAATTGTGAGTATCGTTACTTACACTTACAATTAGTGTCATTTAGTTGTGATTATACCTATAATCTTATGGACAGATTGAGACCTGGCTGAAAATTAGATCCATTGTCTCACTCTCCAGATGTCAGATTATTGTCAAACAGTTCATCCTTGTATTGAGTTGACTGCTATTCACGTAGATATTTATGGATAAGTGTTGGAGAATATCAAGTGTTAAAGAATGTTGGAAGGTATATGATATTGTACATAAGCACCACGTGTGAGTTTTATTTCAATTATCAAACAAATGTTGAGAATGGAAGATTAAAAAAGGTAATTATGTTCTCCTAAGCATTAGTAAAAATGTGGTCACTCCAACTGTATTACAAATGTATGTAGCAAGGATACTCCTTTCACATGTCTGTTCTGAAAGAATAGGGAAGGCTGAGTGTACTACATAGGATATGGATACTTTCTAATGGAAATCAATCTAACTCACTGTTTTTCAATCTTTTCCTCTCCCTCCACCCACATCCTGTTCCTTCCTCCCTCTTGCTAGGGAATTTTCCAAGGAAAGAGAGAAGGCTAAGGCTCGGGGAGATTTCCAAAAGTTACGGGAAAAGCAACAGCTAGAAGAGGATTTGAAGGGCTATTTAGACTGGATAACTCAAGCAGAAGATATTGACCCAGAAAATGAAGATGAAGGCATGGATGAGGAGAAGCCTCGAAACAGTAAGCAATTTTCTTCTGTCCGTCTTTCTCTGCTTTTAGCAAGGGAACCTGTGCCCACCTGCTCCAGCGCTGAGATTGCCTATAGGGCAGAGCAAGTTCTTCCTGAGGCTCTCACTATGCTTGTATGTGATCCAAGTGAAATACATGCTGGAATACGCGGGAGGGAGAAATATGTGTAAAATAATTGATTTTGTTCTGCAGATCCTCAGATTCTTGTCTGTGGTACTGACATTAGAACCTAGTATTAAACAGAAAAAAGATCAATACTTGCTGTTATAAGTTTGCTACTGGGATAAGGTTTAAAATATACATGTCTCCTATTCATTTACTTAATTGCAGTTCAGTGTTGCAGGCTGTTGACACATGGTTAATTACTTTGAAAGCAAAGGTTTCTAGGCAAAGCAATGCTACAGTATGGGAGAAGGGCCAGATCAACCCTGTTGTACATTAAGTTGGCCATCTGTGGCTCCATTGAAATCAGCGGAATTGCATTTGCTTTTGCCAGGCTGGAATTAAGCTTTCTGACATTTCTTGCAAGGGAATTACCTCTTTTTCTTCTGTTTTGGAGCTGAGAATATGTTTGTACAAAATGAGAATTCATCAATTCTCTCTTATTAGAATTATGAGTTTGAAGAAAGCAAAGATTTCTTACATTTAACTACCTTCACTCTGTCTTTTAATTCCACCTTGTCTTTTAGCAGTATTTGAATCACTTCAGAAACATCTTGCAGTTGTCATCATAGGTCACATACTTTGGAAATGTCAGTCTGAACCTATAGGCAGTTACACAGCTAATGGAGACAGGCGCTACATTTAGCTTTCCTTATTTAAATCTGCATTATCCCAGCTTGAGTTTGGAAGAGAAGACGTGAAGTCTTTTCCTATAGCTCTCTTACTACCAAATAAGCAAAATCCATGGCATGATCAGATCAAAGCCATATGTGTCCAGGAAGATTGGACACCGGAAAGTTAAACCTACACAAAAAAAAGGAAGAGTTGTATCAGATTCTTATGATTTTTGAGAACGAGCACTACTCCCTATAGTTGTCATAACATTTTCAGAAAAAGAAAAAAAAAAAGGAGAAAAAAAAAACCCCAAAACTTATAGGGGTCATTAATATCAAGTCATACCCTTCATAGCTAAGTGTCTGGATTTGAGGGAGTCTCTGGGGACACCTGCTCAGACTTTCCCAGGATAGATTACTTTTATGTTGGTGCCTTCATAGGAATTACAGCTTACTTTCATCATTTAACCTGAGTAATCAGGATTATGTTACTACTCATGGCCAAAATTTGCTCTTCTGTGGAATATAATGTAGGGAAGATCATATCTGTGATCCCATTTCATTTCCTTGTAGACAGAGTTCAATAGTAAGAAAATAACACCACTGTAATGGATAGTGCTTGATATGCTCAATATGGCATTGGAGTGGGGAAGTTGGTTGTCACAAGGTGGGTCAGTGAAGTCACCAGGAGGCTTTCCCTTTACTTCAATGGGAAGTAAATTCCTCCTACAGGCATGCCTGGTAAAGAAAACTGTAGCCAGAGGGGTAGGAAATATGATGTGAACCTGCCAGGGCTACTTTCAAATTTGAACATTTTTCTTTTTAATGAACATAAAAATAATTATGCTTTGGTAAAAGTTTTTTGGGATGGGACAGATGTGGATTCATTGCATTCATTGCAAAGTGGTGAGGTCAGTCCAAATTTGAGCTAACAAACTCCTTTTCTGTGTAGTGATATTAAGAACTGGAAGATTAATAAAGTTCAGATTAATAAAGTGAGTTTTGTAAAATAAAAGGGCTTAAAAAAATTGGTGATATTATATCTGACAGTTTCTCAAGAGCTTCTCACAGTTGGCTGTTAATGATAGAATTACACACTATTAGCAAACTAACTTGTTATCCATTTCTTTTCCAAACTTTTAATGCAGTATCTTCAGTGCCACTGGTTCTAAATATCAAGTGTAAGGACAGCAGTGTTAACCAATCTCTACTGCACAGTATATCTTTCTCTTTGCCTTAATCAGCTTTTACTACATGACAGACTAGACTTGGAAACGGGTATCAGCAGTGTCTAGTGGTACATGGTAATATTACACCTTTGTTGATAGGAATTGCTTAGAATGTGAAGGAAAGCTCTGGAATGATCTTGGCCATGTATGAGGGAAAAGTCATGCTAAGAAGTCTCTGAACAAGATAATAGCAGAAGCTATTCTAATGCTCAGTCTGAGCATTAAGAAACGTTGTTTTTCTATAAGGATGGTCAGATGCTGAAACAGGCTTCCTTGAAAGGTGGTTGATACCTCATGTCTTTTATGTTCAAGTGCCATTTGGATAATGCCCTCAATAACATGCCTTAACTTTTGGTTGGCCTTGAAGTAGTCAGGTAGTTGGACTCAATCATCTTTGAAGTCCTTTCCAACTTTGCTAGTCTATACTATTCTATACTGTTCAGTGCTGTACCTTGGTCTCCTTCCTGACAAGGGCTTTTTTAACTTTGGAAGTAATGGGTCTTTGTGTTGCCGTCCTCTGATATAGAAGCCAATAGCCACTGAATATGGAAGGTAAAGAGCAACTTTGGGTTTCCCATCTTCAGCCCCAGCCCTCAAGCCAATAAAGATACCTTGGTGCTTACTCCCACCTTAAAGAGTTGAGGTTGTGTTTTGGTCATTCGTACTTCATAAATCACGTTCCTTTTTCTTTTCCAGTAGGCTGCTGTATATACTTTTGTACGATTACAGGTATCACATTGTTTGAGCTCTATTGTATTTCCTGATACTTCTGAATTTCAATCTTTATTCACGTGACAAGTGCTACTCCATTTTCAAAGCCAAATAGATTACAGACATTCTCTCCTAAGGTGTCATATTCACTTCATTTGTTTACGTGCTTGACTGTCATGCCTCATCCACCAGAGAGGAGGAAGGTATACTCCAGGTATACGTATCTTCTTTCTCCAAGCCGAACAACCCTTCACTTCAGTTGCCTTTGCTTTGGTTATATTAGGCTGATGCTTAGGAAATTTAGATTCCAGATAATGACTCACACTATTATTTTAAAGAAGTCATGCTCGTTTTTACTTCTTCAATTTCCCCATGGAAGTTGTATGCAGTTTTGGAGTAGTGTTGTGGTTTTTTTTTTTTAGTAAAAATATTAAAGTAGAATCTCAGCTAATATAAAGCTGCAACTCTGTGATTCAGCAGTTTCCACCATCTGTGATCTTGCCCAGGTACTATACCTAAACTGAATCATCCCAAGTACAGAGAACATATGTTTCCAGTCTCTTCTCTGTCCTTGGCTGTGGAGACCAGTTTTTCTGTCTTCTTACCCTGAAAAGAGAACTGCCAGCCTGGGAACTGCCTCCTATAGAACAGAGAACAGGAAGAAGGGAAGAGAACTGCACTTGCATCCCCTTTGGTTTGATTGCCTTTGTCAGTCTTTTGGGCACCATAAGTCACATTTTGTATATTCCACTGCTTTCCTGAAGATGTTGAAACTTGTCCTGAGTCTCACTGGGTGTTTACAGCCCTTAATGAAATGGTTAAGTCCAAGAACTACAGCAAGAAGGGCCCCAATAGAAGAGAGGGTGAGAAAAGAAGGTGGACAGCCTTTAGCTGATGTTCTCTGTGGCAGAGGTCTTAGCATTCTTCTGAAGCATTTCTATACCAGTCATCTCACATTCACTGAAGAGCATTCACAGAGCAGTTTGAATTCATCTACACTTTTGGGAAGTGTATGTTGAAGGCAGTTCTTTTCACTTGTTTGAATACATGCTTTTTCTATCTTGGAAAGTATGAGGTGGGAAATGTGAAAAGGCTTCTAGGGGCTATTTGTGTTAATAGTTTTCTCCTATGCTCTTTTCCTGATGGGCCTCCTGCAAGGGAAAAAAACATAAATTTGACAAAGGAGAGAAACACATGTCATGGCACAAAGCACATACTGAATTTCAAAATTACGTGATAGTGAAGAGAATCATCCCTTCTGTTGCCACAGCAACTGGGAATTTGCCCTTTTTTATTCTTCCTGAGAGTGTTCTGCCATGCATCTGTGTTGCTGTAGGCAGGAACAGAAACCTCAGTCCAACCCAGATTCTCCTCCTATTGAAGTTAATTGGCAAAATTCACACTGACCGCACTAAGGTCAGTAAAAAGCTGTGAATGGCAATGGAGAAGTAATTTGATGTTTCTGACTGCTCAGATTTTGCCCTCCCTCTGATTCAGTGTATTTCAGTCCTATTTGAAGATGCCGCCTGCCATGTGAGCACAACCACATTAATATCTATAGGAGTGACAGAGCTTACTGTTTGGCCTGGAGTTTGGTAACAGAGGTATTCATTCAGGAATACTCATTTTTCTAGTTAAGTCATATCCAAGGTAGTACCGTAAATTCAAGGGCTGATTTGCAAGTAGCTTACCCAACAGAAAATCGAAAGTCTAATCATACTCCAGGGCTCTATTGCAATGGGACTGATTACTGTAAATAATCAAATTTTCATGTAACGCAGCAGTAAAAACACTGCAAGTCAGCGTGTTGCCTATCAAAACATATAGCAAAACTTCAGAATGTACACTGAATAATGAAAGATGCAGGGGAGAGAGGCTTGACTGTACATGTAAATTTATGCCTTAGCTCAAGTGGAGGTATAAAATGCACAATGGAAGATGATGAAGTTGAGAAATACAGGAAAATTCTAAAATTCTTAAAAATCTAAGCTGTTAAAGAACAATACTTTTTTAACAACAGGTCTCAGTTTTTACTTTCAGAGCAGTTATTCCAGTATCTTTGTGACCTTTGGAAACATTTACTTGCATCTCTTGCAGCCTTATTTTTACCCACACAGTCACTGTTGCTTGTGAACAGCACTATGTTTTCATGGTAGTATTTAATCTCAGTTTTGTGAGAGTCTGCCCTAGGAGAAAATGTTTTTGAAACAGTGAGGAAATTTTCAGGTGCAAGGTAAAACTTTGAGAAGAAATAGGGATCCTATGGACCATTAGA